TAGGCATAGGACATGGCTGAGCTGGTGATGTATTTGTCTTAATAATGTGAGCACTGAAGTTCAGTTTCCAGAATGTAAGAGAAAAAAGGCATGGTGCCAATGAGACTCTCAGCAAAGTGGGCAACATTCTGAGGAACTACACTTGATATTGAACTCATACTCCACATATATATTCCAGGCAGAAAGAACAGAAGAATGTTGTATGTTTTTTTGTTTTGTTTGTTTTGTTTTTTCAAGACAGAGATTCTCTGTATTGCTTTGGAACCTGTCCTGGAACTTGCTCTATAGACCAGGTTGGCTTGGAACTCAGAGATCCACCTGCCTCTGCTTCCCGAGTGTTGGGATTAAAGGCGTGCGCCACCAAAACCTGGCGATATTGTTCGTTTGAAGACTGATGTGGCTGGAGTTGGGGCAGAGAGGCCACAAAAGCATTAGACCCACCCTCACCCCAGGGCCTGTGTCCTATTGCAGACACTTATATTTTTTTTTCTTAGATATCAAATGCATGCAAGGGCAATTTAGGTGCTGGATTACTGTAATGAAAGGAAGTAAGTTAAGTGTCTTTGACTCAAGGAGAAAGACCACAAACAGATAAATACACAAGCAAGGAGACGAAGGCCTCTAGAGAGGGTGGCTGTCTGTGAGATGGCGTTTGAGCTGAGGCCTAGGAAATGAGAAGATCAGCCTTGTGGACTGTTGAGGGAAACAGAATGCTGGGCAGGTAGCAAGAAAGTCAAAGAAGCCGATCATGGTGGCCATCCCTTTAATCCCAGCACTCAGGAGACAGACAGGCTGATCTCTGAGTTCTAGGCCAGCCTGGTCCACAGAGCAAGTTCCAGGACAGCTAAGGCTACACAGAGAAACCCGATCTTGATATAAAACAAAAAAAGTACAAAGACCCTGTGGTACACACATACTTGAGTTGTAGAAGAGAGAGCTGGATCATTGTAAGTGATGAGGAAGAACACAGTGACCTTGAATTCCTGATCTTCTTGTATCCACTTCTCAAGTATTGGGATTACAGGGAGAGGCTACCAGGCCAGTCTTCAGAAACATTTATTTTTGTGGTGATGGAGATGGAACCATAGCCTTGTGTATACTAGGCAAATACTCTACCACTGAGCTACATCTCCAACCCTCATAAGAAGTTTTTTTTAAAAAGTAATTTATTTAATTATATTTTATGTGCATTGGTGTGATGATGTTACTGAAGTTACAGGTGGAAGTGAGTTACAGACAGGTGTGAGCTGCCATGTGGGTGTTTGGAAGGGCCGCCAGTGCTCTTAACCACTCAACCATCTCTCCAGCCCAACAAGTTTTGAATACAGAAGTGATCACAGTCTTTGTTTTGGAGACAAGTGTTGTCTGTGTACCTGGCCTAGAACTTGTAAAGCTTCAGCACCAACCTTTTGGGTGTTGAGATTATAGGTACCCAGTGTTTGTTTTTTGTTGTTGAATATGGTTTTAGATTATTTATTTACTTTTGAGACAGGCTCTTTCTATGTAGCCCTAGATGGCCTCAAACTCACTATGTAGTTTAGGATGGCCTCAAACTTCTGTTTCAGCTGTCCAAAAACTGAGATACATGCTACCACACCCAGCTTGTGCTCTCTCTCTCTCCCTCCCTCCCTTCCTTCCTTGTACCTAGTTCTCTCCATATTGTCTAGGCTAGTCTTGAACTCCTAGTTAGGACCACAAGTAGGCTCCATTTTAGATTTGTGCGTTTGGGTTTTTGAGACAGGGTCCTGCTCTAACCCAGGCTGGGCTGAAATTCACTATATAGCCTTGACTGGCCTCAAATCCCAGGCAATCTTCCTGACCCAGCCTCCTGAATGCTGGGATTACAGGCATGTATTACCACATTCAGTCTCAAATTTGGTTGCAAGTCAGTTTTGCTGGCTGCATGCAGAGTATACTATAAGGAGCAAGGCCAACTCCAGGTCTTTCCAGAAAGTAAGCAGTGGTGGTGGTCTTAAAAGGATGGGGATGGCTGGGTGGTGGTGGCACTCACCTTTAACCCAGCACTCAGGAGGCAGAAGCAGGCTTATGTCTGGGAGTTTGAGGCCAGCCTTGTCTACAGAGCAGTTCCAAGACAGGCTCCAAAGCTACAGAGAAACCCTGTCTGGAAAAACAAAAAACAAAGCAAAACAGAAAAAAACCCGGAAGTCAAACAGGGAGAGGAGTGGATGCTGGTACTCCAATTTCAGGCTGGGTAGCTGTCTACACATCTGTACAAGGACCAGATCTTAGATGACTTTATGCTATTGTCACAGAGTGGAGCAGACTGGGTAAATATAAACCACAGAAGCATAGCTCTCACACCTCTCATCAACACGGCGGGACTGTGAGTGAGCAAGTACATGCAGCATGGGGAAATGTGGCCAAACTCACCCTTTTCATCAGGTTCTCAACACCCATTAATGCCTTAATCCATTTCTGGGGGCTAGATATGTAATCATATCTCCTTTTTTTGTTGTTTTTGTTTTTCAAGTCAGGGCTTTTCTGTGTAACAGCTCTGGGTGTCCTGGAAGTCACTCTGTAGAGCAGGTTGGCCTTGAGATCTGCCTCCCCAGTGCTGGGATTAGAGATGTGCACTGCCACTGCCCCTCCTAATTATATCCTCTTAAAGGTCCCACTTGATGGGACTGTTGAGATGGCTCAGCAGATTAAGGTACCTGCCACCAAGCACAACACCCTGAGTTTGATCGCTGAGAAAAGAACTGACTCCAGCAAGTTGTTCTTTGGACTAACACATACACACTCTAAATGCAATTTTTTAAAAATCCCATCCTTTTACTACCCTTATCATGGCAGTTAGGTTTCAACATGAGCTTGGAGGAGACACTCAAGCTACAGCAAGCAGTGCCTATGTACGTCACCTTTTATTTGGGAAGACAGTCTCCCTATGTAGCACAGGCTAATTTTGAACTTGTGGCTCTTCTCTAGCTTCAGCCTCCTGAGTGCTGAGATTACAGGCATGTGCCCCCCTACCTGGTTGGATACCACCTTTTAGAGTGGTTTCCAATGGGTGAAAACTAGGGGTTCAGGGGAGATACAGGAATATCCAGGAAGAAATGACTAGTGAAAGCTAACAAACAGGCAAATGTCCCCTGGAGTAATGAAAAGTAAACTGACTGGAGAATAGACTCTGGGGAATGAGTGGGGACTTTTGAAGTACAGACAAGAATTGGAGTGGCATCAATGGGGAGATTTTGCATAGATCCATACCTTTCACCCATTGGCCTGTTCGGCCCAGCCAAAGCCTGTGCAGTGAAGGCAGGTCTTAATTCAGAGAGCAAGTCCTCTGGTCTTAGCAGTTTTCCATCAGAAGCCTAGATGGAGTTAGAGGAGTCATGGCTTTCACAAAGCCTTATGACTAAAAGGACTTGCACGGCTTGGGTGAACCTTTCACCCCAGTGGTCAATTACCTCCGTTCCTAAAGCAATGCCTGCTGGGTGAAAATGCATCTACTCTCCAACTTCTCAAGCCCAGATGAATTAAGAAAGACCAGGAACAAGGTGAAGGCAGGTTGCTTATAGAATCTTTAGGAAACAGGAAAATGGTTCCAGAAAGGGCAAACAAGCTGGCTTCAAGGGTTTTATGTCAAACCTGTTATTGGGTAACCCCTGCCACCCACTTATTTATTCCAGTGACCAGACAGAAGTCAAACCTTTGTTTTTCACTTTATTATACAAAAAAGGGAAAACAAAACCTCCACAGTGGGCCTTAAGCTGGGTCAGTCATGTCTAAGCCGCTCCCATGGTACAAATTCAAGTGGGGTGGTTGTTGAGACCTATAAAATACTCCTTAAATATTAGAAAAAGAGGGAGAGGGGTCCCAGTGCTAAAATGTACCCTGGGCAACCTCTGACAGCACCGACAATCCCCAGAGCCCTGTCTGTAACAATTTCCAATACTTGAAATGGGAGGAACACATGTTGCGTTCAAAGTTGTTTCTAAGTGAAAACATTCCACTCAAGTGTAATAGTCCAGGGCATTCAAACAAGAGATGGGGTTCTTTACACCCCTCTCAGGAACTTAAAAACCCTGGCACCAAATTTTAGAATAAGGACAGTGTGTGTGTAGGGGTGATATTACTCCCCAGGAATCTTCACAATATAGTCCAGGCAAATGTCTTTGCCTTCAAGGAGCACTGGCAGCTGGGCTGAAGCCCCACCCCTACTGTGGACAGTCTACTCCCCCACCCCTGGCTTTCATTCAAGAGGCAAAAGATGGGGCAGCACAAAACCCAATAGCATGAACAGAACAAATTCTGGCCAACTTAGTGAAAGTGAAAATCTCCACTGTAAGGTGACTTGGCTTATAGAGTCAGGGACTAATCCCAGAAGGCCCGGACCTGCTAGCAAGGGTTAGAGGGCCAGTTGCAGAAAGCACCTTCTGCAGCCCCTTCCCCAGATACAGGGGTGGAGGCAGGAGAAGGGGAGCAGACCTGAGAAATCAAAGGAAATGGGGGTGGCCAGAGGACATGGGGGAAGGCAGGAGAGACATGTGGGTAAAAAGATCTCAGGACATTTCCTGAAGCTTAGGGAGCACCCCCAGATGAGCCGGGAGACCTTTTCCACTGAAGGAAAACTTTAAGGCTCATACTATTGTCTGCTCCTTCCCACTTTCCTGCTGGGCAGCACAGACCTGCAGCAGCTCAGATACATGGCCTTGGCAGAGGCAAACTGGTATAGGAAGCATCAGGTGGTTTCCACAGTGGAAGATTGCAGGGAGGGGCAGCCTTGGCCCATTCCTGCCCCAGTCACCATCTCCCAGGTCTTACCAACCCTTTCCCAAACACACACACACACACACAGACACAGACACACTCACACTTCCCTATCCACAGGTGCATCCATACTATAGGCAAGCACACACACAAACACACACATACTGTCTCACACACACACCCTATGCATATCAAGACCATTTTAGTCTCATTCCATCCCACCCCAGGCCCTCCCATTCCCAGAAATGACAACAGAGACGGCAGCCGAGATCGGTAGGAAACGTCTCGTTGACAGCTCAGAGCTTAAAAAAAAAATATATACACATATATAAAAAACACTCTGCCCCTCCCCCATGAATGGGTCCAGGCAGCTCCTTCCTGCAGGGGCAGGGGAGAGGGACATGGACACTGCCTGCTTTCTTGAAGGCAGCACCGTTCTCTCCCTCCAGTTCATTGTGGGAGTCCAGGCGGCAAGCCCCTCTGGAAAGGAAAGGCTTCCTGAAAATCCACCTTGGTGCAGGCTGCAGGGATGGAGGCCTCACCGAACTCTTTAGGACACACTCCCACCCCCAAACTCCCCGGTCCATTGTCCATGCCGGAACTGCAAGTGCAGAAGAGGGGTGGGGTGGGCCGGTCCAGTGCTGGCTCAGTCTGATGGTTGCTGTTCCTGGAGAACCCCTGGAGCTGATGGCTCCAAGACTGCAGAGTCCTAGCCTGGGCTCATGCAGTCTTCTACCCCCACTGAATTTTTTTTTTTTTTTTTTTTTTTTTTTAAAAAGGAAGAAAGAAAGAAAGTGGGGGAAGCTGAGGGGACAGAACATAGGGAGAGACAAAGGTGGTCAGGTGGGGAGGGGAGCTCTGCAGTGGCTCTCCTTGGCTGCCTGCCCAGGGTGGGGGCTGAGCCTCAGTTGGAGTCAGAGTCTGAGGAGTCCCCTGAAGAGGAAGAGCTGGAGCTGCTGCCCTCAGACTCATTGTCTTCATCCTCATCGTCATCCTCATCGTCATCGTCGTCGTCATCGTCGTCCTCATTCTAGGAGAATAATCTGTGGTCACTGGCCGGCCCTCCTTCCGGTCCACAACCCTCCCATCACGCTTGCTCTGCCTACCCACCTCATCCCCATCTTCGCTCTCATCTTCGCTGCTAGACTCTGAAGAGTCCCCGCCATCCTCAGAGGAGTCCCCATTCTCATCATCTTCCTCCTCTTCCTCTTCATCATCATCCTCATCTTCCTCATCCTCCTCCTCCTCAGACTCCTGGGAAGTGTGGATATACATTAGTGGCTGGATGACAGCCACATCACCAGACCCTGCCCCGCAGACACCCACCCATCTCGGAGGGGCTCCTTACCGACTTAGACTGCAGGGTGGTTCGGCTAGACTTAGGATTTGGGCCTCGAAGCTTAGTCATATTCTTACGTTTCTACCAGAAAGGGTGGGAATAGGAAGAGGCGGCAGTGAGTTCTAGTTCCTGCAGAGTCCCTCTGGCGCCCCCCCCTCACCCCCAAGCTCCACTGCCCTGCTCTCACTCACATTGGAGATGTATTCTTTGTATGCTGCACGGTCCTGGGGAGACAGGCTCTGGAGAGAAGAGCTGAGAGTCAGAACATCTGTGTTCCACTGTTGGCTTCATATGTCACCGTGCCCCGGGTAGAGCACTTGTGTACCTTCCCTATCTTTAACCTTAGCCTCCCCAGTTCTTGGTCCCCGCAGAAAGCTCATAGGAGGCAGAACACAACTCTTGATTCTGCCACAAGCACCTTTTCCTGACTGGCAGCCAGTTTCCTATCAAGTTCTCCCAACTGCTATGCCCAAATCATAGCTCCACACTCAGAACCTCCTAAACCCCAAAGCCTCCCCCATGACTCACGAGGGGACCGACCTCACCGGGACCCCAGACTTTGAGACACTGATGAGATGATGGAGAGTGACAAAATTCTAGACTAAATTCCCACCATCTCTCCGGGTCTTTGGTCAACCTATCTGAGTGACAGGCAATTCCCCTCACTATATAGATCTGATTGTTCAAGATAATGGAAAAACAGAGACTGACAGCCTGGCCAGGGCTCACAAGTCCACTGGTCCTGGCTGGAAGGGAGAAAATGCAGCTGACTTGAAGGATTTTCTACCATGTAACCTTGGCAAATTATTTAATGCCTTGGCTTCCTTAGCTTTAAAAGTGCCAGTGCCCGTTGCCCCACAGGATTTCTGAGAGGCCGAGGAACCATGAGCGAGGACCGCCTAGTGTGACCCCCCTTTCCCTTGCTCTCTCTCACCTTGACCCAGAGGTCCAAGTGCACCTTATACTGCTTCTGCTGCTCCTCCGCCAGCTTCTTATAGTGCTCCTTCTGGCTCTGGGAGATGCGCTGCCAGCGGCTGCCAATCTCTACCATGCGCTCCTTCAGCGGCAGGTGATTCAGCTCCCCATTGGACAGCAGCTCCTGGGAGAACTTCTGGTAACCGTTCCTGCAGGGTGGGGTGACACAGGTATGGGTCAGGGTCCTCAGCCAGCTAGCTTCCCGTCCCATCTCTTCACACATCAGAACAGGCTCTAGCCTCAGACTCACATGGGAGGTTTTTTGGGCTCCCCCTGGAACTTCATCTTCTTGGAAGAGTTCGTAGCAGCTGGAGGGGCCCGCATCTCACTTAACTCTCTCTGTGGAGAGACACGGAGAGGTCACATTCACATCCACAGGGTCTACCCCATTGTCATCAAGCCTTTGCTGGCTCTATTATATGCCAGAAAGGGGAGAAGCTGCCTAGAATGGACTTGTAATCCTAATTCCAGATATTAGGGCAGGAAGACCTGGAGCTGGTGGCTGGAGTCCATAACTAGACTCTCCCTGAAGCAACTACTTGCCAGTTAGCCCATCAAGAGGGCCACTTCAAAATGCTTTCTAAATTGCACCTACGGCCTCTAGGAAGCACTTAGGAGGCTAGCATCTTGCCTCTCACCTAGCCTATGATAGGCTGAAGGTCCCAACAAAGCTGGCATTTGTGGTCCAGAACCCTGGGATTCACATGGAGGCCCCTTCTCACCTCATATCGTTTTTGGTCTTCGGCTGCCTTCTTAATCCACATCAGCTTCTCCTTCTTCTCCATGTTGTTCCAAGTCATCTCCATAGCTTTTAAGGCTTTGACTCGGTCATTCTGAGGTACAAACAAAGGGCATCAGCTGTGGGAGGGGTTCTGTTGCTGCTGGAGGCTACAAACCAATCCTTCCCCACTCCGTGCTACCTTGAAGCGAGCCAGATAGTCTCCAATGACACTCTGCTGCCATATTTCCTCAGCTCTCTTGGGCGACTCAGGCAGCTTGCCTCGCTCTTCACGCTCCCCACCTGGCTTCCTCTCAGACTGTGCTTTCAGAGCAGCCTCCCGAGCCTTATATTTAGCCTACAGGAAAGGCAAAAGGAGTCAGCATGCGAACCACCCCTAGGGGGCGCGCCAAGTCAATCAAGCAGCTGCAGCAGGCTCCTGCCTAGAGGGCGGGGCCGGCAGAGGCGAGGGCGGGGCCAGCAGAAGCCATGGGCAGCGCTGATGCTCCTCCGCAGACTCCGCCCCACCCATGGGGCTGCTCTCCGAGGGAGACAAGCCCAGCTGACAGCTTCCCGCCTTCCAGCTCGCGGGCACACGTGTGATCCACACCGGGCGCCTTAACTGCCCGTGGAAGTGGCCCGGGCGGCCTTAGGGGAGACTGGTGCCAGACTCTAAGGTCTGACCTTCTTCTTCTCTGACAAGTCGTTCCACATGCGGGCCAGCAGGCGGGTCAGCTCGCTCTCTGAGAGCTCAGGCCGCTCCTCCTGCAGCTGCCTTCGCTTCTCCTCTGAGAAGATGAACATGGCAGACACAGGCCGCTTGGGCTTTTCAGAGCCGCCCTAGGAGTGACGGGACGGAGAGGGTCAGAGGTACAGTTACCATTAGCGTCCTGTGGGCCGCTCCACCGTACGTGGTTGTCCTGTGGCACATACCTTGCCACCTTCCTGAGAAGGCTTCTTGGAGGCTGGACTGGTGGTCTGTTTCTTATTGATGTTCAACATCTTTTCCTCGCCCAGGACCCGCTGCTGCTCCTCCTCGGGCAAGCTCTGAGCAGGAAGGAGAGGGGCACGGGCTGCAGCAGGCAAGCTCATCAGACTCGAGACTGCCCGCCAAACTTGCCCCTCTGTCCACCATGCTACTCACCTCGAGGAACCGCAGCAGTTCTACCTCATAATCTTTCTTTTTCTAGGAAAGAGAACTCAGTCAGTTGGGGACTGCCTCCATTATTCTGGGGCAGTAACCTCAGCAGGCCCCTAGGGACTGGGTGTAACCTTCTCCCTCCCTAAAGACGGTAGACAAAAAGGCCTGAGCTGTCTGCTTTCATAGATGCAGACATTACACACTGCCAAGTTGGAAGCAGATGGCCACGGCACATGTAATCAATGAAAAACAGCCTGGCTGGGGCGAACTGTACACTTGAAACAAACCCCCAAGACAGGACCCGAAGGCCAGGGTGGTACCTGGTCACACTTCTTGTGGTAGGCGTCCTTTTCCTTCTGGGACAGCAGCTTCCACTGCTGGCTACATAGCACCATGCGCTCTGTGCTCGGCACGTCCTTCATGTTGGCCATGAGCTCTGCACAGTACAATGAGTAGCTGTTCCTATTTAATCCAAAAGAAGACATGCCCATGAGCCAGTGGGCAACAGGCTTCCTAGCTGCCCAACCCAGGTCCAAGTTCTTCAAAGGCCCAACTCCCTGGCTACCCACTCGCCCGCCCACCCACCCAGGGCAGCGCTCACGGAGGTGGCTTGGTAGGTCGCCCATCAAACTTGTCCTTGAGCTGGCGTTCGGCCTTGGTGAGGGTAGATTTGGTGATGCCTTCCTCGCTGATGTTTAGTTCTGGATGTTTCTGGATATAATCTCGCATAATCTCCTGCAGAGTGAGGTAGGGGAGTGGAGGGTAACGGGGTGTGGGGTTAGCTGGGACACCATAAGGGGGAGAGCCGCTGGGGAAGGAAGGCAGGGAGCAAAGCTGGGGATGGCCGTGTGTGTCTGTGTGTCTGCTGTGTCATTTGTAGTATGGTGTCCTGCTCTGCCCTAGCCTGAGATCTCTCCGTGGGGCGGGGGAGTTGTGAGATGGTAGGGGCAGAGGTGAGGGGCCCCAAAGGGCCCCTCCCTCAATAGAGGGTCAGGGAATGACTGCCACCTGCAGAATGCGGTGACACAAGTCAGAGGGCAGAGGCTCGTGAAGAGCCGGATGGGGAGGAGCGCAGCGGAAGCCTAACCTCGTACTCCTTCCGCTGCTCCAGGGCCTTATGAATCCATTTCAGCCTCTTTTTGTCCGAGAGCTGAGACCACTGCTTCCCCAGGGAGTCCTTCACCTCCTTCGTAGTGGCCTGCAAACCAAAAGCCGTCAGACACACACAGGCAGCCAGGGGCAGGGGAGGGGGGGGAGGGGCACAAAGGCCCCGCCCCCTCGGGCCACAGGAGGTCACACAAGTGTCCACCACAGGCCAGGAGGGTAAGGTGGAGAGGCAGGGATCCGCCTTGGTGCAAGGGACAGGCTCACACACACACTCATTCGTACGCCAGCTGGCCCAGGCCCTGTCCATGCAACCCCCCGCTGGGGAGGGGCCTCCTCTCCTGCTCCCCTGCACCATACCCAGCCACCTGGCGCGGCTCCCCCCTTGCCACCGCCGTGTACCCTCCACCCCTACCCTTTGGCCAGACACTCACATCCGGCCGCACTTTGAGATACACCTTCTTCTCATGGGTATACCACAGTTGCTGGGGAGTTTTGGGCTTCTCAGGGATGTCCGACTTCTTGGCATTCTGGATAAGGTCAGGGTGATCCTCCCTAGCCAGGGGACCGGAGCAAGGGTCAGCAGGGGCACTGCTAAGGCAGACACCAGCTAGCTGCCCAACCCAAGCCTTCTTTCTAGGCCTCCTGCTGGAACTTAGTAGAAGTTAGTGGCCAGCAGCCTGTCTCTGCCCCTGAATCTGACACTAACAGTCTACATAAGACTTCCATGTTTCATGGATGGTCTCCAGTCAGTATCAATTTATCCTACCACACCCAGTGCCCCATGGCCCTCCTCTGCCTTACCTGAATCGGGCCAGGTTTCGCTCGAACTCCTGTTTCTCCCTCTGGAAGTCCTGAATATATTTCATCTGAGGGGAGGAGGGGATGGGGTCACCCAGGACCCAAGGGCTATTTCACCCAGAGCTAGAAAAGCCACCCTTCCTGTCTTGCCCTCAGTGAGTTGAACTCACACTAGCCTGGGTTTACAGGGGTCTTTGAGACATCCATTCACCATCCTGTTTTCTTAGAACAAAATGTCCCAGAAGCCAGGGGACATGGTATCAGACAGTGTGTGGACAGTAGCAGGCTAGGACTACCCACCCCCTTCTCCAGTACCACACAACTCCCCTGAGTCCTGCCGCTGTTGCTCCCTCTTCCCACCCTCTACACAGCTGATGTTGGTCTATTCCCTCCAAGGTGGCCAACAGCACCAGGGAGGCTAACTTCTATTTCTAAGGCAGGAGAGGATAGTGTTGAAGGGACACAAAATAAATTCTTGCAATGCAAATCACACCCCAATGTCCTGAATTTGGAGTTTTTCCCTATTCATCAGTACTCCTCATATTCCCGGTAACCAACCACTCCTGCTTCCAATTCCTTCGGAGTCCCAGGATCCCTCAGAACCCTACTTTTTTTTTCTCTGGCATTTTGCATCCTGGCTCCCATGTAATAAGACATTTCCTTCCTCCCTCTACTCTAGAGGTCACACTAGCACTGGAAGGGACTAGAGGCTCACAACCAACCAGGCCCCTCCTTGTAAGAAGCACCAGGAATAAAGTGGCAGCTCATTTTCCTCACGCTTCCCAAGGAAAACTAGAAAGAGCACAGCCTTGGGGGCAATCTCAGTCCTCAGACAAGGTTTTGGAACTAAAAGGCCTATGAAGGTTCTGGCTCACACTCTATACCCCAAATCAGGAGTAGTGAAGTGACTTACCTGAAGCCCCCTACACAGCCAATTGGCAACAGGCAGTAAGCAGGACAGGGCCAAATCGGTATGTCCATACTAACGTTCTCTGCACTCAGTTTTTCTGAACCTCTTGCTCCCATCCTTTGGGGGGTTTGGTGGTGTGTGTAGTCCCTGTCCCAAGTCCTCACCCATGGGGTTAACTGACCTCTGGCAATTCTTGCTACTCCTTGGCTTGGGTATGGGCCACAGACAGCTTCTACCCAACCAAGCCTATTCCATTTTGGATTCAGCAACAAGGGTGTATGAGCACTCAGCCAGAGAGTACAGAAAAATGGCTACTCAGTATGTTGGCTGGCGCCATTTGGGGGCCTTGATATATACAGCTTTCTGTCCTTTGCCTGCCAATGTGCATTTTTTACACCTTGCTCCCCCACCCCCCACATTGAGGCCTCTTCTCCTTGTCTCATCAGCCATCATCTCTTCTTTGTGTTTGCACACTCCTCAGTCCATTCATTTTTCTTGTGTGATGAACTCCCTTCGGTGTTTTGCTTGCTGCCTTCCAGGGAACCTGAGCTGTTTTTTAGCTTTATCCACCTCTACTCAGGAGGTTTGAACAACTTCTACCCCTAAAGGGAAGTATCCCTGGTAATTTAATCAGAGGTCCATTTCTGTAGGGAACAGCCTGAGGCATGTGCCCTTGTACATGGGGAGGCAAGTCACTGATGTACATATGGCAGGAAGGAGAGCACCGGAGGGAGTCAGGAGTCCAATCAACCAGTTCCCTTTCCTGTGGCCTCTTGTATGCTCACGTATCACAGTAGGTAGAGAAATGCTGTAAAGATTGATTGCCAGGGCGGATGCTTGAGTGGGACTGTTCAAATATAATACCAATGGCTGTGGGAGTATCGAGATCAATCTGAATGCCTTCTGCTTCTTCCCCTACAACGGGGCCTGTCTGACCTCGTGTGGGCCTGGGAGGGACAGATAAGCACGGGTGGCCTCTGTATACACTCCATCCTGCTGCCTTACCCACCCAAGTCCCTTTGTCTAAAGCCTACCCCTAACCTACACACAACTGACCTACCCACAAGGGCTGCTCTCACCTAAAAGCATCTCTGCCCTCCCCCGGCATCTGAGCCCCCCCCCCCACCTTCTTCTTCTCTGGAAGCTCCTTATACTTCTTAGACAGAATCTTGGTTAGGTCCAGGTTGCTCATCTCAGGATGGAGTTTCGCGTACTTGGCCCGCTTCTCCATGAAGAAGCGGAAATAAGGGGTGAGAGGCTTCTTTGGGAAATCTGGGTGTTTCTGGAACAAAGAAGACTGATGTTAGATACTATTCATTCTTTAAGCCCCTGACACCTTGGCTTCTCCTCCTGGTAACTTACCTTGAGTTTTTTGCCTTTGTAAGGATTTTTAACATGTTCCTGAGCATCAAGGATCAATTCTGTCAACGTACGAAACTTCCTCACCTGAAGGAAGAAGGAAATGGGGGAGAAAGGAATTTGGTAAATATCACTCCATAGTTCTTATTCAAAGTTATTTCCAGTATTATTGCTACTCCTCACCAGACTGAGTTCACTGAAGGAGACAACCAACAGCCTACAGTACAGGCAACCCCTGACCCAGAGGGACTAAATACCTCATGCCTACTGCAGAGGTCCAAGCAGTCAGAACAGATGGACTGACTTCACTGTGGCTTCCATGCCTGTACCTCATCCAACCCCTTAGATTGGTTTGGGCCATAGAAGCACAAGGCAGTAAGTATTCAAAGGCCAGCTAGAAAGACTGCAGTAGAATTGTGAATGCTGGGCTGTTGCTATTGCCCAGGCCACTTTGTCCCATAAGGCATAAATCAGAGCTGACAGATAAACATGTAAACATCGTCTGTCCAATATAACAGGTTTGCTTTACTTTCCCATCTTTCTGATTTTTTTTTAAAGCATATATAGAAGTGTATTTATGTGTCAAAAAGTAGGCATCAGTTACCTCATTAGAAATCTCCACCCATTTGAGCTTGCACATATCTCCTGAAAAGTCCTTAAATGCAACTTTTTCCCAGTCCATATGTGATTCTGTGGTTTTGAACTTGGAGCTGTCATTGGAAGGAAGGTTGTTCTTCATGCATTCCAGCAAAGTTAGCATATCTTCCTGGGACCAGCGGTCTGGTGCGGTACAAGAGAAGTCATTGCACACGGCTCATGCCTTTCTCTTGATCTGTTCCCCAGTCTTTTTCAATTCAAATCCTCCTCCCTGGTTGCTTTTCATGTGAATTACTGCATCTTTCCTTAGACCTGCCTCAGCCCTAAAAACAGGGGCTCTGGACTACCATACTTAGCTACTCTGGATGTTACATCTGGCTTACTCCAAAGCTACCATGTCTAGCATGCTAGGCTCCTATAGGCCTCTTTCTATTATATGAGATGGAGTAAAGCTAGAGTGACTTGGGGGCCCTATGGGCAAAATGCTCACCAAAAGGGGAAAAAAGCAGGGAGGTAACACATCTAGGTCACAAGCATGCAAGGCCTGAGCTGGGATGTGGGTAGTACGGTACCCCATGAAGACCTCTCCAACAGCAAAGACATATACATCCTACCACCTGCCTCCCAGTCACTTTAAGGAAGATCAAAGGAGAATTTCCGGCAATTAAGAAAGATGGAATTCAAACATGAAAACCACATACAACAGCTCTGAGAAAAGGCATGCAGGTGGGTAGAGTTCTCAGGGTCTTACTCTCTGGGGAACCCCAGAATTCCAAGTTGCCACCGAAGCCCAACTCCCCAGGAAGGCAAAAGAGCATCTTGGGCCAGTTGCTTTCAGCTGCTGAAGTGCACCCTAAAGACAGCACAGAGCCTCTCTGGAGAGTGGCTGCCCTGGAAGCTGAGCTGGGGAAATCCATGACCAGGATGCAAAGGAGCTCTTAACTTTCGTTTGCATCCAATAACCTAGGCCAGGGTTTCAGCAGAGAGGGTCACATGGACCCGTGATGCTCTCCCCTAACATATTATAAGCATTACCAGATGCTCAGCCCTAGACCCTCCACTTCATAGACATTACACCGGCAGAGGCTGCTGGGACCTAGCCGACTACAGTTCCTATGGCTTGGGACCCTAAACCACTAAACTACCCCTCTCCTCCTTCTACCTGCCCCAGACAAAAATCTTTCTCCTCTTCCTTTAAGGTTAGCACATAATACTTTAGGCTAACTGGGAACTGGCTTGGGCGGGTCTTTCCTGCCCCTCAATCACAGCAGGAGGGGGCGTAAAAAACACAACATAGAAGCTCAAGGCTAAGTAATTTGGATTTGGCCAAACCCAGAATTGACAGCCGCTTGACTTTGTAAACTTAAGAACCTCTCCCAGTTCACAGTTCGAAGGCTGGAAGAACCTTTTAGAAGCTGATAAGTTCATGTGTGAGAAAAGACAAGTTTAAAGAGGACAGAAGCTGGGGTCCCCTACCTTGGCCTTTGGGGGCGGCCATTTCCAGGTCTGTGGGGCAGTCTGCTTCTCCGTTCATTCTCCAGCTGTCCAGCCACCTCCTCGGTCGCGCTGGCCGGGCAACCCGGGGTCAAAGCCACCTCACCCTTTCGAAAAGACACCAGACCCACTCAGGTAGGCTGAGAGGAGAGGGACTTTCTATCCCACCCCCTCCCACATGGGAGGGGGCATAGGTCCACACTCTCAGCGAGACCCAAGCAGGAGGCTCACAGATTTCATCGGTGGGTGTAGGAGTGAGCCCCTCTCTTCCCTACCCCAGCCCCTGCAGCCCCGCTGCGCCGCATGCGCCCTCCCCTGCCCACGCGAGAGACTGCTCCCAGCTCCCGCGTGCAGCTAGCGCCCGCCCTCCGGCCTCCTTCCCCCACCCGGGCCAAAAAAAAAAATTTTTTTTTTTCCTTTCCTCCTCCTCGTTGAGCGCCCGCCCCGGGGAGGCCCTAGGCTGGAGGGCGGGGGAGGAAGGG